TTGATTTGTGGCCAGCGGTGGGCCATAACGTGTGTTCACTCGTTTCTCTATTGATAACAATAATCGTATTTTTCAATCATATATTAATTTTAATATTAAAATCATAAAAATTAACGCTAAATATACTATACTTGTGGAAAGTGGTCAGCACTGAACGGCCAGTGAGTGTATCGACCGGTTGTCCGCTATTATCGGTCGGCAAAACAGCAATTACTTCGAGATCAGAGTCAGAATCACTGGATATGTTATACATATCCATCGGATCAGTGGAAATATGGTGTAAAATAGGCACGTGTTGGGAGAGGTTTATTGCCGTGTAATTTATAATCTATTCAATTGTTACTCATATACAGTATAGTGAATATTAATATAAGATGTGGTGATTAAACATATTTTAAAATAATTACTAATATTAAACTTATAATACAATTAAAGTTTGTAAGAAAGGTATGAAAAGAGGGAAAACAATGACTAGAATGATAGTAACGATTAGTACATGTATCATGTAAATATTAATAAATTGTAACATTTAAAAATTTTATAATTATTGACAATTTATTGTAATAATTGAAGTTTTATTGATAACTTTAATTTTAGCTACAATTATGATAACATTACACTTTAATTAAAGTTAATTATCAAAACAGATCGGATTACGTGGTTTTGGTTCATAAGATAGGTTCACAAAATAGAGGGTAGATTTAAATTTATAATAAATTGTCTATAATTAATAACTGTTGGAAATGATGTCCCGAAAGGACTGATGGGTCGATCGGTTCGTACGGATCACCAAATCGGAGGACTCGGCGCTCAAAGCGCTCTCCAAAGCCATGCGTTGGCGGATGTCTTACGGCGTGAACGACATCACAGACCAGTCCTCAGGAGAAGAGATGTATCGGACGGACGAATACAGTCAGTACTGTCGTGACCGGGAGGGCCGGCCTGTCATCTGGTCGCGGGTCGTACGCCATCACAAGTGCGGCTCCGGTGGCAGCGATTGGGACGCCTTATTAAACGGTCCATAAGTTTGAACGCGTGAACAGGGAGTCAGAGCGCAAGGACTGTGCTTTAGTGGTGGACCAGACGGCCGCCGGTCTGTACAGCGTTTACACCCATTTATAAAACTTTCAGACCGATGTCCAAAACGACTACCCGTTGGGACCCAAGTATATGGCAGTTGTGGACACGCCGTGGGTTTTGAAGGCCACGGCATCGCTGGTCATGTCTTTCATGGATCAGCACTTGAAGAATGCGGTCGTGTTATCAGTAGAGATGAGTTAATGAATGATCAATGAATGGCTGGCATTGGCTGTATGTCTTGTCATTTATTTGACCAGTTCTTCGATCACATCCCTGTCCGCAGACATTGTGTGTAGTTTTGATTGATTGAGTGTTGCTTTAATTTAATGCTACTTATAATTAGTTTATAAATACTTTAATAATTTTTAGTTGTATAAAACTGTACTTAAATTGATATTAAACTTTATTTACATGAAAATATTTTGTTAAAATCTTTAAAAGCACATATTTATGGTTTTTCTCCCAAATGAACTCGCTTGTGTTGGATTAAATTTGAGCTGGATGAAAAACCTTTCGTGCAATCTTTGACATCACAAATGTATGGTTTTTCTCCCGAATGAATTCGCTTGTGGTCGATTAAATTTGAGTTGTATGAAAAACGTTTCGTGCAACCTTTGAAATCGCAAATGTATGGTTTTTCTCCCGAATGAATGCGTATGTGTCTCATTAAACTCGATTGTTGTGAGAAACTTTTATTGCAATTATTGAAATCACAAATGTATGGCTTTTTTCTCGAATGAATGCGCTTGTGTCTGATTAAATTTGAGCTGGATGAAAAACCTTTCGTGCAATCTTTGAAATCACAAACGTATGGCTTTTTTCCCGAATGAATGCGTTTGTGTCTCATTAAATTTGATTGGTGTGAGAAACTTTTGTTGCAATCTTTGACATCACAAATATATGATTTTTTCCCCGAATGAATAAATTTGTGTTTAATTAGAGACCGTTTTGTAATCACTCTATTGTCGCCATTTGTTTCCTTACAATTGAATGCCTTATCCTTTAAATTGATATAATTTTAAGAAAATAATTCTATTAATAATTTTGTTACAAAAAGAGCCGAAATAAACAACAATTGATTTAATGCTTACATTTAGTGTTTGAGAGCTGAGACCGCATTGGTTACTGTCGACCGGCGGTGCTATCAATTGTGCGCCCATTTCTGTGGCCAATGTCTGGTCAGACACTGTCTGTAGACTGGGATGAGTTGCGGACACATCAGTGTTTGGCTCTAAAGTAGAGTCCGTTGTAGTCATACATGTGCTGTCAATCTGTGATACTGTCTTCGGCCCAAACGTTGGCCTAATATGTGGACTATCGGTGCTCTCGTCGGCCTTGACTTGACTGCTATCCTCGACTTCGGTGTCACTATTTGTGCCCAAAAAAGTGGAGACAAGTGTTTAATACATTTGTGGCTTAAAAATCAATTCTTATAATTTATAAGTTATAAACCACTCACTTATCGGCGGCAGAGATCCGGAGCGCGAGAGCATTGGTGTCCAGTTTGTGGTGATTTAGGCGCCGCGACGACCGCCGTTTGGCCTCCACTTTACTGCCATTACCGACACGTTTGCGACTCTTTGTTTCACTCGTTTTCGCGCTATAATTAAATGTCAATTATATCTCATAAGACAATCAGTGGTTTTCATCCATCGCTTACATTGCGTTCATATGGCATGTGTTGGGCTCATCCGGAAAGTCCGGCACCGGCTGTGACAACGGCTCAGTCAATGGTTCGGCGCTCAACACCTGTAAATCATTTGCGAAATGATCGCTCGCGTTGATGGCCACCGGTATGTGGCCGTGAATGGGCGGCACCGGTATGTCTACCGCTTTGAGCCGATAATCTTCGGGAAGCCGTTCGGACTCAAACCTACGCTCGCACTGACAGTATGGGCACAGGTATTGGTGGACGTGTTTATGCTTCTCGAGTATCTCTTCGGTGCCAAACATAGCGTAACAGCCCTTGAAATCGCATTTGTATTCATACATCGTTTTTGACTCTACCGCCACTTCTTGGCCCCCATTTCTGTTTACGCCGACTGTCTCTTCATTAACAGACACTGTCTGTAGACTCGGATACGTTAGCAGAGGCTTAACATCGATCAGAGTTTGGTCAGTGGAGGGGAAATAAGACATACTATCACTGGTTAAATGAATCAATAAATACAATAATCAGTAAATATGGGCAAAACATTGTCATATATCGGGAATAAATTATTTCTTAAAGCCTTACGTATCGCTCTCAGCGCCGATCAGTGGCTTAACGTCGGCGCTATAGGCGGCCCACCTGTCCATCAATGCCTGATATGATGTTTCGCAAAACGTGTCGTCGGAAAGCGAGTCGTCACTGAAATGGCCGGACGTGGGGTCGGAGTAACCGTTAATTCAAAGATAAATTTTATCGACAATAAAGGCATACCTGCTGTCGATGTGAGCATCCATTTGTGCTAAACCAACGGCCCTATCGCTACGTTCGTGAATAAAAGTAAAATAAAAATATTCAAAACTTATCATAAGATTTATATTATAATTTATAAATAGAGATAAAAAGGGATAAAAATATTTTAATTGCTGTAATTTTCAAAAAATACGAGACTAGCGTTCGCTAAATACCTAACAATTAAATCCGATATTCGTATTTGGGTTTAACAAAAATAACATTTATAATAAGTAGTGGTTAGAAGTTTATAATTATAATTTATTTTAAAGATATTACAAATATGAAACCTTATTTAAATAATAAATCAGACAATTATTTATCTAAAAAACCAAAAAAACTTTTGAATAGTTAATTCCGAACCCGAGTATTGGGTTTAATTGTTCGGTATTTAGCGAACACTAGTTTCGTATTTTTGAAAATTAAAACAATTAAAATATTTTTATCCCTTTTTTGCTCTAATTATAAACAGTATTTATAATAAACTTTTAAAAATACTGATTTAGAGTAAACACACAATCAATTAATTGCATAAATCAATGGCTATTATATACCTGTTGTTTGGATCAGTGATTGAGTGCACCGGTAGGGCAGTCGTGGGCACTACTGGTCTATCATCAGCCACTGTAGTGTCCATAGGAAAGGTCTGAATGAGTGGCTGTAGTGTCTCCTTAATGATTGTCAGTGGCTTTATATGAGCCGCGCTTTTGGGCTCCGGTATTGTGTTTATTACTTTGAGATCAGAGTCCAAACCACTAGATATTAAGTAAAGTTAATTAATTAATGGCTTAAACCAATGGATAGTATACTTGTTTGGATGGGAAGCAGAGGCTGGGCTCTACCAGTCTATCATCAGCTACTGTAGTATCCATAGGAATGGGTGCCTGAAGTGTCTCCGCCGGTGTCACTGTTTTGATATCAACACTGACTGTCACTTTAGACTCAGCTAATGGCAGGCACTGGCCGTCAGTCGTATGTCTGGTCAATGGTTGGCCGCAATTGTGGCGCAGATATTCAGCCACTATTTCAAGTCCACTGTTTTCATCACTACTCGTATCGGAAATCCTAATTGCGGTTAAAAATTATGATACAATTAATGTGTTGTTTATTAATTCATTATTCATAACAAATACTCAATATATTTCTGGTCTAATGTGTGTCCAGTGGTCGGCGGCACTGGCGTTGTATCGACGGTGTGTTTTGGCTCCGGTTTGACAACTTGTACTTTGAGATCAGGTTTCAGATCACTATAAATATAAAGTAAACACACAATCAATTGATGGCTTAAATCAATGGCTATTAATATATAAAAATTAAAATATTCAAAACTTATTATAAGTTTTATATAAACTTTATAATATAAAACTTATAATAATATAAACAGTATTTATAATAAATTTTAAAAATATATGTAAAATATTTTGCAATGAATTGAAGCACTGAATAATATGACCTCTCTTTCTGTCAGTGATGTACAGAATATACTGTACTATGGATTCGGTCCATAAGTATTGCAATTTCTGATGAAATGCTGTTGAAATCCGACACGCATATGTCTGCAAATGCTGTGTTAAGTTAACAGGGTTGGCAATATTACAAACTATGTATTATACCTACTTATTTTATGTTCTATTACACGTTGTATTTTATTTATTCTAAGTTGTCATTTTGTAAAATACGTTTTGTAAAAATAATCACTGATTAAAATGAGTAAATCAAAGTCAAAATTAATTGTCTGGCACTATGTTACAAAAATAGATCAATGGGTGAATCACCAACTCTTATGAAACGTCATTTTCTTATAATAGAGCCCAACTATATATAAATTTAATAATACAATGTATTTATAAATATAGAAATAATTAATTTGGGGGCCCAACGATTCTATATAAAGAGGCGGTCAAGTGATTCGGCACCTCGTAGTTTTCTCATATCTTTTGATCTGTTAGAGATAATTAGATTCTGTAAAGTGCATCTAATAAAGAATTATCGGGGAAATTTTTTGTATATTTTAAAATTTTATTTTGGTCACGTGGTATACTCAAAATGGGACAATATTGAATGGTCATATTACAGGTCAAAATATATTAGATATGGAGATGGTCCCAATACAAAATGTGTAAAGCAATAATAGGTGAGTAGAATAAAAAAAAATTATTA